GCACAAGTGATCAAATACCACCAAAAGAAAGTTCTATTCGTGGGGAAAAAAGGACGTACATTTAATTTGGGTGCAGCATTGCATGATCGCGCAATTGTCAGTTAAAGAAATGCAACGCCGTAACGCAACAAATGGCCTGGTCAGGAAGGGGAGTAAATCCTCTGGAGGGCAAGTGGTTAATAACCAAAGCATTCATCCATAGTGTGGTCTGGCTTTGAAAAATAATGCTCCACAGGTTTGCAGAAATCATCTTCTTTGTGTTCTTTAATGATGTGTCTGTTTAAATTTGTTCTTGTTTATAATTTCTGTCCTGTTTTGCCAAGGTAATATTCTTTGTTGCAATTTTTTAATTGTATGAGGTCCAAAACATTATTGGAGACAGGTCCGGACTGGCCATAGGGCACACCGGGCATTTGGCACGGAGGCAGCACCGCCCCCCCCTCCTTTCCCATGGAAGGGACACTTCCATGGGAAAGGGACAGGAGCTGAGTGTGTCCTACCTGACTTCGTGTACCATGTTGATCCGGTCCACAAGGCGCTGCTGGAGGAGGGGTGCAGAGGAGAGCGGAGTGGTGGGAGGGTCATCGGTGTGCGCTCGGAGCACGTGAGGGCGGGGCCCGCTGTCAGTGCATGGCGGGATGTGCAGGAAGGCCAGAAGGTGCCAGCGAAGGAGGAAGAAGAAGAGGATGAGGGTCAGGGTGGAGGAACCTGCCCGCTCTTTTGCAGCCGCCGCCACCGGAGATCTTGGGGGAGAAGGGACACAGGCACCCGTCCTGGGAGTGATCCTGACACCATCTGGAGGAGCCGCTGCTGGACAGGTAAGTGCTTGAAGGACTGGTGCTTCCCCACTCCTGTCTCACTGTCCCCATGATACACTGCCCCCCACCTGTTCCACTTCCCCCCTCCTGTCCCCCACATTGTCCCACTACCGTCCATCTGTCCTCACTGCCCCCCACCTGTTCCTCTGTGCTCCTCCTGTCCAGCTGCCCCATCCTGTCCCATGCCCCCTGTCACGCTGCCCCGCACCTATCCCTCTGCTCTCCTCCTGTCCCACTGCCCCTCACCTATCCTTCTGCGCTCCTCCTGTCCCTCTGTGCTCCTTCTCCTGTCCCACTGCCTCTCACCTGTTCCACTGCGCTCCTCCTGTCCCACTGCCCCTCACCTGTCCCACTGTGCTACTCCTGTCCCGCTGTTCCATCCTGCCCCATGCCCCCTGTCACGCTGCCCCCCACCTGTCCCTCTACGCTTCTCCTGTCCCACTGCCCCTCACCTGTCCTACTGCGCTACTCCTGTCCCACTGCCCCGATCCTGTCCCATGCCCCCTGTCACGCTGCCCCCCACATGTCCCTCTATGCTCCTCCTGTCCCACTTCCCCTCACCTGTCCCTCTGCACTCCTCCTGTCCCACTGCCGCTCACCTGTCCCACTGCGCTCCTCTTGTCCCAATGCCCCTCACTTGTCCCAGGGGCGTATTTGCCGTGAGGCAAACAAGGAATTTGCCTTGGGCGGCAGTTTTCAGGGGGGCGGCACAGCGGCAGCGCCGCCCACCCTTTCCCACGGAAGGGACACTTCCGTGGGAAAGGGACAGGGGCTGCTGTGTCTTACCTGACTTTGTGTCCCATGTCGAACCGGTCACAGGGCGCTGCTGGAGGAGGGGTGCAGAAGGTGTCCGTCCAGTGTCTTCATCTTCCTGGATCTTGATCGTGATGTGGGCGGGGTGACAAGCCGCCCCTCAAATCTGGTCACACCCCTGGGATCACTGGGCAGCCTATGGCAGCCTGTCCCTCTCTCTGCAAGCTCTGCATCCTCACCGATGATTGGCCGCCAGATCTGTAGCTCAGAAAATGACAGTCAATCACAGGCAATCACAGGCAAAGAGGCAGAGCTTGGAGAGGAGGAGCCGAGCGGCAGCATGAAGATTGAAAATCGAGTGAGGAAGCAGCTGGAGCTGGTGAAGGGGACACTGCTGATGGGTAAGTGTCTGTGCCTGAAGGAGGGAGCCCGGGCTGGAGCAGTATAATTATAATTGGTGTCAGTGGGAGTAATAGTGCCCCATCATTAGTGTCAGTGTGGGAGGAATAGTACCCCCTCATTGGTGTCACTGACGCCAATGAGGGGGCACTTTTCCTCCCACTGACACCAATGATGGGGCACTATGCCTCGGGCTTGCCACTGACACCAATGATGGGGCACTATTCCTCCCACTGACACCAATAATTGGACACTATTCCTCCCACTGATACCAATGATGGGGCACGATTCCTCCTACTGACACTAATGATGGGACACTTCCTCCCACTGATACCAATGATGGGGCACTATTCCTACCCCTGACACCAATGATGGGGCACGATTCCTCCCACTGACACTAATGATGGGGCACTTCCTCCCACTGATACCAATGATGGGGCACTATTCCTCCCCCTGGCACCAATGATGTGTAACGATTCCTCCCCCTGACTCCAATGATGGGGCACGATTCCTCCCACTGACACCAATGATGGGGCACGATTCCTCCCACTGACACTAATGATGGGGCACTTCCTCCCACTGATACCAATGATGGGGCACTATCCCTCCCATTGGTATCAGTGTGAGAAATAGTGCCCCATCATTGGTGTCAGTGGGAGGAATAGTACTCCATCATTGGTGTCAGTGGGATGAATAGTGCCCCATCATTAGTGTCAGTGGGAGGAATCGTGCCCCATCATTGGTGTCAGTGGGAGGAAAAGCCCCCAATCATTGTCAGTGGGCGGAGCTCTAATAGGAAGAGGTGAAGCCTAAAGAGGAAGGGTAGGGTTTGCAGATGAAAGGGTGGGACAAATTTAGATGTGGGGGGTGCCCGATTTTAGTCTTGCCTAGGGCAGCACAAAACCAAAATACACCACTGGTGTGGGGAGGTGGATTGGGCTGTCTCTTTTCTGGATTGTGCTGTCTCTTTGCTATATGGAGCTGTCTCTTTGATCGATGGGGCTGTCTCTGCACTAGATTGGGCTGTCTCTTTACTATATGGAGCTTTCTCTTTGCTGGATTGGGCCGTCTCTTTGCTATGTGGAGTTGTCTCTTTGCTGGATTCCCAAATGAAAATTTTAGCATTTTTCTGAGACAGATAACACTTTCTTTTGGTGGTATTTATTATCCACTGGTATTTTAATTTTTTTGCTATATAAATGAAAAAGATCAAAAATTTTTAAACAAAAAGTGTTTTTCTTATAAAATTTAGCAAATAAATAATCTTTCTTCATAGATATTGGCCAAAATGTATTCAGCTATCTATTTGTAAAAAATAAAAAATTACCTGAAACAGTTTAAAAAAAAAAATTATAATTTTTCAAATTTTGTTTTCCTTTTTTTAAATATATATATATATATATATATATATATATATATTTTTTTTTCTTACATACTGTCACCCTAGCAGTACAGTGTCACCATAGTGACACTGTATTACATGTGGGGGATGAGGAATGAAGGCTGTAAAAGCAATCATTTAATTTCTCCTTCTTTCTGGCTGCGTTCCTGCAGACATTGAGAAATACTTTGAGAGCTGTGATTGGTCACAGCTTGTCACATGGTACAAGGCTGTTGTGAATAGCCTTGTATCATGTGACCTTTTGATCATTCATAGATTTCACAAGTAGTAAACAATGATTTCAGGAAGTGACATCTTGTTTACTACTGTTCATGTGATCACTGAGTGGCCAATCAGTGATCACATGAAACGGGACTTCATACAACGCCGATCCCGTACAGCGATATGTATTCTGTGGCATAGATCACGTTGCTGCACGCTCCCAGGGATCGCACACACAGGCAATGGATGCTGGGGGCCGTTTAGAAACATCCCCTCACATCGGCAATGCTCCCTTTCGGCTGTTTATCCAGGGCATATCTAATTGAATTAGGGGATCAGCAAGGATTACTTTTCCTGTTGAAGCAAATGGGACCATGCTTTATCATTTTTTTTTGCCTTCTTCAGGATGAATTGTGAGTATAGGGTTCTGTATATGGGGGTTTTCAATGTATTTATTTATTTTTTCTCTACTGGTTGAAGTCAATAGACTGTGTCATTTTTCAGCCTAACTATATAACTATGTATAGCAGATCCTTTTCTCCTCATGTATTTACAAACACATGTATTTGGCTATATATTACTGTATGAACATCTATTTATCAGTTTTGTTGTTTAGGGTGACATACATTATAATTTTATTTTTCTGTTTTTGTTCTTTATTAAAATCAATATCAACCTTTAAAATACCATTTTCATTTTTCTAAATATTCTCAGCAGAGGTATACATTAAAACATTTTAACCTGATGCCAAGAACTAGCTTTACATTAAATGAATAAGACATCTAAATAAATAAAAATACAGAACGGAGACACTCTATTTCAGTACAGCACTTTTACAATTATTTCCATGTTGAAAATGTTTCTTTTAGATCATGGGAAATAACTATGCCTTCCTAGCTAAGTATGGGTTACCCTGTTAGTTTTCTCAGTGTTCTCATCTATCAAAAACTATGAAATCTAGAAAGCTGGTTTGCAATTGTTTAAACAGTTTAATGTGTCAGAATTCTGATCATTCCTTCATGCTGAGGTTACAACTGTTTAAGCATATCTAACAACCCCCCCCCAAAAATAAAACAATATACTGTATATTGCAGACTTCCCTTAGAAGATGTGGTTGCTTTAGTTTTTCCTTTTTAGGCTAAGAACATTTTCAGCAAACACAGGGAATACTGCTGGTTTTGCCAGAAATGCAATGTCCTTTTTTCTCCCTGTTAGCTGAAAAGCACAAGAATCCTCATCTTTCTTATGTTAACTACTAATGCCATAAATCTACTGAGTAATGGATGTAAATAAAACATCCATGTGTACATGATTCAAGTACAGCCTATGCAACAACCAACAAGACTTAGGGCTCATGTACACTGCAGCTGATAAACTCACGTTTGGGAGCTGTTCGGCGTTTTTTTCCAACAGCCCCTGAACTCACCCTAATGTTTTCCTATGTGTCCATATACACATCTTCGTTTACAGTCGTTTACAGGCAGTTGAGTTTAAAGTCGTTTTTTGAACACAGAAAACTTGCATTCAGGAGTAGATTTTATCATGGTTTCAAATGCCAAATGCTTGTAAACACTTGTAAACGTGTAAACGTAGATAAACGTAGCTAACCGCGTTTATAAGCGTTTGTGTTTGAAATTTTTTTTTTCAACTCTTCCATTTCTAGATGCTGTCCAGAGCCTTTTTTCATCAAGAAAAATGCATGCTAAGCGTTTTCCCAGTGCTCAAATAGACCTAGTACACCATACTTTGAGGTTTCGCATGAAAGAAAATATGTTAGACACTGCTGCAATAATTTCTGCACAGAAATGAGCTGGAACACATCCAAAACACCACAAAAAAAAAGACAGCTAATCTCAACAAATACTGCTCTCTCTGCTTCTGCTCTCTCTATTTCTCTCAAAATGCCTGAAATAGTTAATTTTTACTGTTTTTCAGTGCATTCTGGGCATTTTGGAAGGTCTCCTGAGGTTATCTTTAAAAAATGCTTCTAAACGCAAACGCAGAAACGCGGTATGCAAACGTGGCTAAACAGATGTTTATTAACCTACTTTTTCCAGCAGTCAGTTTCCATCGTTCAGAAGTGTCCCGTGTACATGGAGCCATACAGTAGAGGCACCAGAAAAATGAAAGTAGTAATGAGGGAACAGGATTACCAGCTTTTAGCCTGAGAGCCTGTTATTCCTGATCCAAAACCTTATGACTGTTCTTATTGTTGACCTGGTTTTCATTGGACCTGCTTTTGGATTATCCCTTCCTGCTTATGTTTGCTGACTATTTCTTTTACCAACCCCAGACTGATCTTCAGCAGTTTCTGAGGCTATCAAAAAGGCTATCAGACACTACTCTAAGGATACCCTTACCTCTCTATTTTCTACCATTGCTTTGGAGGCAGTACAACCAATGACCAGACTCAGGCATATCTACCTCTCCAGAGTCTGAAGGATCCATTCTGTCACTTCCAATTTCTCCAGTTGTAGTTTTATAGTTGTAGTTGGTTTTGATACATTTCTTAAGGAGGTTCCCATGAAAGAACCGTAATGGTCCATTAAATATATTCTTCAGATTTTTTTGAACATATAAAAAAATCATTTTAACATATATTTTTGCATATATTTGTAAATGCATTCCAAAAATGTAGATTTGTATTTTTAAAGAAAAACATATTTGAAATATATATTTTCCCTTTTGAAATGCTACAATGTTGGCCATATTCAATATATTTCAAAATATATTTCAATAAATATATATATATATATATATATATATATATATATATACAAAATATATGAAAATATTTTTAAAAATACATTTCAAACATACTGTATGTCTTTAAAAATACAAATCTACATTTTTGGAAAATCAGAAAGGCTATCAGACACTAATCTAAGGATACACTTACCTATCTTCTACCATTGCTTTGGAGGCAGTACAACCAGTCCCCAGACTCAGGCATATCCACCTCTCCAGAGTCTGAAGGATCCATTGTGTCACTTCCAATTTCTCCAGTTGTAGAGTTGGTTTTGATATATTTCTTAAGGAGGTTCCCATGAAAGAACCTTAATGATCCATATCCTTACATGGGTTTAAATTTGTACACTAGAGTTTTCCCCTTACCCATATGGAAGAAAAATATTTTTGAAATGTATTTTAAAAATATTCTTCCCAAATATATTGACATATATTTGAAATGCTACAATTTTGGCCATATTCAATATATTTCAATATATATTTCAATATATATATATACACTGTATGTTGAAATGCGTTTTTATTACAAAATATATGAAAATAGTTTTAAAAATACATTTCAAGCATACTGTATGTCTTTTAAAAATACAAATCTACATTTTTGGAATGCAATTACAAATATATGCAAAAATATATGTTAAAATTACTTTTTTTATATGTTCAAAAAATCTGAAGAATATATTTAAAAAATTTATATTTTTAAAAAACAAACTTCTTGTAAAGCGTTTGACAACACAACCCCTCCCAAGCCAACTAAAAGTCAAAATTTGCACCCAAAGCTGAATATTGAAATTTTACTTGTCCTAGATGCAAAACACTCTAACATACTAGCCTCCTGGCTATTGTGTTGCCCTCCTTCGGCTGCATGGAGTCTCTGCCTACTGGTGCACTGTATCTCTCTGTACTAGACAGTGTTCCACTCTCTTTTCTTCAGATGGTGGTCTGGTCAATTCAATCACTCTCAACAATAGAGCCTCATGGCTGTTTTGGACTGCTTAGTCCCTTAATCTATTGCCATTCAGACTAAAACATTCCCCACATGCAGCTGCTTGATACAAGTTCCTTACCATTAGGCTTGGACACACTTTCCCTAAGTGTCTTTCCACACACAATCAGAACAACCAGTGATAAATGATATACTTGCCTGACATAATCCTGTAAGCAGTTCCATCTATGTGGCCTTTGTGGAATCTCATAGTAGTAACTGGGACATCCTTTTATATTTACATTTTAGAAATCTACGAAGTGACACTTTTTGCTCTGTAATTGGTGCTCTTAAGGAAAGTTTATGTGATGCTTAATAATGAGCAGATGCTTGGGACCAGATATGTTCCTACACTAGTATAGTGTGGTATGCATGAGACAGTCTGACATTCTTCAGCAGTAGTATGACAGTGAATGATTAGAGCTAGCATGCCTTAGTTGGAGGAACCTTGGTTGGAGTCTAGTCTGTAATGACAGTGTTACAATGGAACAGGAAGATGGCATTAGTTTGAATGGAAATTGGTAAGTTATTGCTTTTTACAAACTCACCATCTTGCCAGATGTAACCCCCTTTCTCTTCCCCATTTCTCTGAACTATATAGAATGTATTGCTCTCATGCCATATATGAAATCTCTGCTGTGAAGTGAAGCAGGTTAGTCTGCCAATGATTCTTCTGTAATACCCCCAATCCAAGTCAGTTTTAATTAGTAGAAAAAGTTATTTTTCTTACAACCTTCTGCCACCAGAATATTGCAAAATCACTGAAAGTTCTCTTTGGAAGTCTCAGCATTTAGCATTTTATTCTGCATTGAACAAAATTGGTAAATCTGGCTCTGTTTCAATGTATAAAAATGCTGATAAGGTAACTGGGGAAATGTTTCCAGACATTACTAAATACTGTTACAATATCCTTTCATTACACCATACATACATAAACTGACTGATAGCTCAAGGTTCCTGGGTTAAGAAATTGTTCCTGCTGGATCTTTTCATAACCCAACTCTAATAGCAATTATTCTTCTGAATTGTATGCCGCACACTCTCTGTAATGATAAACCAGTACTTCTTGAGTGCTTTGTGATATTATAATACAGTATTTTAGTTTCAATGCCTTTTTGCAAACCCTGCATTTTGCAGTGTTGAAATACATTTTTTTTCTTTTTGTCGATTAAAGCTTTATATGGTAATCATAGACTATGCATCGTTGCTAGCAAAGCTGCCTCCTAGAACTGCCTATTTGACCTCATTTTATCCTTTACGTACATACAGATTGTTTTCACACTCAGGAAGATATGAGAAGAATATAGATGATTTCTATTGCAATAGAATTACATTGAGATCCTAAAATATTACTTGAAATTTTATTGCTTCGGATTGCACAACTGACAGATTTTTTACTCTTTGATTTCTCATTTTAGAAATAAAATCAAAGCAACAATACTTTGCTACAGTTAATAATAATCAACTAAAAGGAATGAAAAACACATCTTCTCCATACCAAAGGTTTGGTGTTTTATAAAGGTGTGACTACCAAAATTAATGCTACAGTTAATAATAATCAACTAAAAGGAATGTAAAAACACATCTCTCCATACCAAAAGTTCTGGTGTTTTATAATTAACCCAGATAAATTTATATTTATCTTAACAAGAAAAACCAGTTAACCATGGCCTAGCTGAACAGCTCAAGCCAGTAAATTTGTGAGCTGGAAAGGGAGTCTGGGGTGAATGGCACAGTTAGGGACATAGAAAGGAGAAAAAAGAGTGGGAGTAATTAAGGTCCCAGAGCATTGGAGAAGGATTCTGGGATGACTGATACTGATTGAGTTAATGGAGGAGGAGAGAGAGAAGGAGAGGAGGAAAGGGAGCCCCAAGGGATTAATTGAGGTGTCTGGCATAGGTAACAGTAACTGAGTGGCAGAGAGAGAGAGGGGGAGAGAGAGAGAGTGATTAAAACACTAGTTTCACAGTGGACAAAAGAGAGCAGAATACTTGTATTTGCTCAAAAGTACTCACTTTGAAGCAAATACCAGGAAACTACTTGCAAAATATTAATGCGATGGTATCAATCTCCATCAATGTTCCCTGCACATGACCTTCTTTGCCAGTGGTATGGCAACCAGGTGGGCATGCTACTCCACATCTTCTGGGAATGTACAGTTCTCTGACCTTTCTGGCTGGCAGAAAGTGCTGCAGATTATATGCTGACTTGCAGATTTTTTTTTTTGATGACCCGTACTTCTCAACCTGGGCCCTATGTTCTGCAAAAGTGCAAATGTTGAAGCAACCATCCCTGACCACCATGTATCCATGGTTTGCCATGGTGAACAATATTCAACATATTCAACACCTGACTGCTGTCCTCAGGGTCAAAACGGAGAAACATAGCACATGCTGGCATTATTGGGACATGTTTCATTTCTCAGATGAGTATTTATTTATTCCTAAATTGAGGCTGTTCTTTAATGTGGTTTTAACTCCTGGTGTCATCACCTCCATCATGGCCCCCTGTTTCCCCTTCCATCCCCCTCGCCTTTGTTTTTCTCCCCTCCCTCTGTTTCCTCTTGTTGACCACCTAGTGGTGTCATCTTTTAGTGGTGTCAGCAGCATATGACAGCAGGGAGGCCTTGGGACAAGTTCCCCACCAGGTATAACTACTTCAATCTCCTTCCCGCAATCATATGCCTGCAGGCTGATTAGCCTTACTGGCTTGTTCATAATCTCCATGATCTTCTCCATGTCACCAATTATATCACCGATTGTTTCAACATCAGTGTTTAACCTCATGTCTTCAGTTGTATTTTATTGATGATGTTCAGTCTTGGACATTATCTTGTTCTTTTTCTACATCCATTACCTGTACATCTAATGGAAATTGACATTGATGTAATTGACAATAAATGCAATGTCATGTCATGCTATTGTTATGTGAATTACATTTTTAAAAAATGCAGAAGGGGAAGAAGCAGAAAAAGGTTAATCATACAGTGTGAAAAAAGTTAAGAAACAGAGAAGATATTCAGCTTATCCACATATAACCTATCCAA